GTAGTAGTGACCGAACCCACTCCCTGCAAGCTGTACGTGCCCCAAGAGTACTTTACTCTCACGGTGGTGCTAGGCTAGGCCTTTCCTGTCGAAGAAGGGCAGGATACAATTAAATGTTACCACCGCCTCCACCCATGCTATCATTACCTCCACCTAAAGCACTGCTAGCTCCACCAAAGCAACCATTAATGCCTGCCATCTTTTCAAATGCAACGTGTGTCATCATTGGTAGTACAGGCCTTCTATTCTAGCCTCATGGTGGAGACATCACACAACATGATCTTCTCTTCCTGCTCCCCACATAAGCTTGCATTCCAACGTGAGCTCGTACCACATGAGGCAGGCGTACAAGTACAGGCTCGTCCAGCAAGGCCACGACGAGGCTATGGAGAACTTTGTCATGGGGTCGATAAAAGACGTGTTCACGAGCAATGACCCCAAGATGTTGGAGCTGAGGTCGCAAATGTTTCGCCAGGCTGGTGTGGTACTGCCACAGGGTCAAGCCACCATAGTTGGGCAGATGGTACCGCCGATAGGAGGACTCTCCAGGTACCCGGTCGACGATATCATGAAACCAACGCCTTGCAATCTCGTGGTGCCCTACGTCAGGTTGTCGAGGAGACAGATGTCAGTGCCATGGGAGTAGCATTGCCGGGACGCATGTACTACGACCAGCCGATCCCGGACGACTATGCCAGGGTGGAGGTGATGTGGATCCACCCGGATCAAGCCGATGATGAAATCGACATACCCACTCCAGACAGGTCCATGTACCTGCGAAGTGTTGTCGGCAAGGAAGTACTCTGGGCTCGGTGCGAGATTTACTTCGATGAGTCGACACTGTCGTCACAGCCCTCGCCGTCTCCCGTGGGTCACGACTACGACGACGACGGCGGCAATGACCCATCAAGCACTCCTCCCGGCACGAGCAATCCATAGGGAGATACTGGAGCAGCACTGGGCACTGTTACACTGCCTGCAAGTGATCGGAAGGAGGACACAAGGCAATGTCCTCCCCCGTCGAGAAAGCTTGCAGAAGAATAGGAGCCCATAGTCGGTTACGCCAAGGTGGACAAGGCGGTCATCGCAATAGCCAACGAGTATGATTGTTGAACTACGTATGAAAGGTATGCTTCTGGCAAGCATAGTCAAAGTATAATTTATGCGGAGATGCTAGCAGATTTTCACTCCCAAATATCTCAAGTACAGGCCGCCATCACTGGTGGGTTGGCCCCTTTCGGATGATTGCCCGAACACTACGAGCATGGGAAGTTCATGGTGGCCTTGGGCCAGCTCGTGCAGGACGAGCCGTGGGAGGTAAGGAGGTTCCATCTCTGGTACATGGAGGCGGCGAAAGTAGGCCTACGAGATTTCGTTGTCAAGGTGCCCAAGGAGTACTTCCACTTGCCCGACGATGATGAAGTCGTCGTAGATTTCCATGACATGCATAGGCTACTGTGGCGTAAGGACCTCGACGTCGCTCAAGTCACCCTGTTTGCCGTGTAAGTTAATTACGACTTTCACACCATTGCATCGCTGTAGGTACTTTAGGAAGAAACTAATAATGCCATGACTTGTCCTTGCATGATGCAATCCTATGTATGCAAGAAATTGGGCAAAAATATTATTTACCTCTCTGTTGATAGTCGTTAATGTCAACCTTAGACTATCAACTAATCCATAAATTGACATGAGATGAATCACAAACCATAGTTATAGGTCTTGTTTCTAACAAGTTCCACAAATTTTGGTGCTCTCACTTGTCTTGCAGGATATTTAATTTTTCACTAAGCAAAACATTCTCAAATGAATAATTGGAGAGCACCATTGCAAAGAGCTCATTGAGACAATCAAAACGGATATATTATTTGCTATATTTGGAGCTCCGAGGAAAAAGAAATCAAAATTCACAAATTAAAAAAGGAGTGCTGACGTCATTGCTGACATCAGCACCCCTGAACAGTGCCATGCAGGCCTATCGAGCGGTGACACATGGCGTCGTGGCGCGCACGCACGCAACCGTGCGAGAGGGAGCGCAGAAGGAGGGCACGGAGGCCGCTGGGCTGGCCCAGTGGGGCACGTGGCGGCCTTGGAATGGAGGGGCGCGGTCCAGGCGGCTGGTTTGCGCGGCGGGCGCGGCTGGGCCGCCCAAGCCGGCCGGACCAGCTTGCCAGGAGCCCATTTTGCTTCCATAAAATCCTATAGACACTGCCGTTCGCCGGTTTAGCTCCGGTTCAGGGCCCAAATGGCCGGTTCTTCATAGGTTTTTTGCGCAGGTCAGTGGGGAACTAAGTTACCGACCATACAAGGTCGGTTGTGGGCAGGTGGCGCAGGGAGGTTGGTTGGAGGAAACTTGGACTTTACTGTTCCTCCATCCTGCAGTAGCCCCCACTCCTCCTACCCCTATAAAAGGACACCAGACCCTCTCCAAGAGACACATCTATGCACCAAAGCTTCATTCTTTCATACACACATTGTAAGTATTGTCCCTCTAGGTGACCCTCACCTAGTTGTAATAGAGAAAATAGGGAGAGAGGAGAGGAGAGAGCTGAGGAGGAGCCAGATCTGTCAGATCCTTCTCGACTTTGTACCTCTACAGATCTGGCTCATCTTTGAGTAATTTTCAGGTTCTTCATTTGTTATTTCTAAGTTCTCTATTTAATTAAAGTTTAGTTCTAACTTTACTTTACTTTCGGGATCTCTGCTCGCATTGAGTGCTCTAGTTATAAATTGTGATTAGAGTAGTAAATGCTAGCGTAGACGTGTTGTCTAGGCTAGAGTTTACCTGAGTTTACGCCCAATCCCACGGTTAGTTGTGGTAGCCCCAGAGGTGACAGCTCTGTCAGGCCTTTGTAATCCACCATGTTTCGATTGGTGTTTCGTAGAGCTTTTTGGCAGCCTTCCCCCGACTACTCTTCCTCACCTATTTCAAGGGTCGGAAAGGTACTGTTGCTCCAAAGTAAGTAAAGTGTGGTAAGCCTGATCTTTGATTAGCTAGTCCAACTTAGAAAACCTTAGAAAGTCCCTCTTTACCCAATAAAATATTTTAACGTATCTTCATCTTTAGATGACCTTAATTCTTAATAGTACACTTCGTGTTCCACGTGGAAATCGGTACCTTGGAATAGTTCCGGGTGAAAGCTACATCGGTATTCATGTGCTTGCGGATTTTTCTGTGTGTGTTAAAAAATACCAATAAGCTTTCTGACGTCGTTGCCAGGAACGGTAGATGTGCTAGTTTAGAACCAAGTTCGTCCGTGTATCCGTTTACCTTTTACAACCACCCTACCACATGGATTCCACGCCAATTATTCAGTATTTGTCTCCGAAGGGCGAATCATTGGAGCCTCTACCGTCTTCACACCCCATTCTTATTAAGTAACCTGACTATTGAGGTTTGCTGAAAATTGAAATATAATAGTAGTTTAATATGCTTAGTATGTTCTGTGTAAATTATTATTCTATCTATCTCCGTTGGAGACAAGTAGGATCAGGCTCAGATAGTTTGAACAATTAATTCAGTGGCAAGTAGGCCTATTTGCATTGTGTATTAATTCTTCTACAAGATGTATGTTGGTGGGTACTGTAATACAAGATGTGTGATGTATATAAGATCCTGGCATTGGAATTTATATTTTTTTGTTTTTTAATTCATTATCACAGACGCATATTGGAATTTATATTTTTTTATTTTTAAATTCATTATCACAGACGTGTGTTGGCAATACGCGTCTATGATAAGGGGTCGTCACAGACACGTGTTGGCAATACGCGTCTGTGATAAGGGGTCATCACAAACGCGTATTTGTGACGACCCCTTATCATAGACGTGTGTACCCTATCATAGACGCGTTTTGGTAACATGCGTCTGTAGCATCAGCTTAAGCGCATCTGTAATAAGACCTTATGACAAACGCGTTATTACAGAGCACGTCTGTGGCATCTCTAAAGGTGCGTTTGTGATTTACTTTTTTTACATAGTGATATCAGACTCAGGCCCATATCCCACTCAGCTCTCACATCTCCCTTTATATCATCAATCGGCCACACCTATCCCTAGCTACTGCGGCAGCGGGGGTCGCGGCATAAGCCGAGTGGCGACAAGCCTACGAGAGGGAAGCACAACGACGGCGTGCTATGAGGAGACGATTGACGAGAGGGTCAAGTTTCATTCAGCAGCCGTGGAGGTCATGTGCGGTGACAACGCAAAGTGAGCATCCCAGGGAGGCAGCGCCGCAAGCAGCAAGTGCAGCCTGAATGGTCAGCGAGCATTGTTAGTTGTAGGGATATTTATAGCTCATTTATCATCCTACTCATATAGTAGTTAGTTTACAAAAGTTCTACATTTTTCTCTTATAGAGCTTTTTATGCATAAGTTGGTTGTAAACTTATATCTTGCTTCTCTTCTCTTTCCTTCTCTCTCCTCCGCCTCAGCATAAAGTTCACCTGCAGCCCTTTACTATGCCTACTCTCATGGGCCCTCCACCGGACCATGGAGAGATTAATGACTGGGTCCTTGGAGCAGCCCAGATTGGCCGAAGAAGCTGCAGCCTAGGCTAAAATCAGACAGCCCCAGCCCAGCAATGTAATGAAAGTAGTCAACAGAAAAGAGCAGTCACAATTAACGAAGCCTAGGCTAAATGTTTCTTATGAGCATAATGTAGCCAAGAGAAGAGCATGAAATTCAGTCTCAGACAATGAAATCTCAAGGCAAGAGACGCTAATAGTGTAGGACATACGTACACGAGTCATCGTCACAAGGAAAATTGAACCTTTATTAATTTGGGAGCAGCAGTAATAGGTAAACTAAACATTATTGCATCAAAGTGGAAATGTCAAAAAAAAATAATTAAGTTGAAAGCAAATTCAAATGTGTATATAAATAGTTAAATATAAGACTCCTCATCCATCATGAATCCATATTATTGTAATTGTAAAAATCTCCGTGGCATGGCATGCCAGCAATATATATAGTATTATTATAATTCCGGATCGGATAATTAGCAGCTCCATGGGATGAAGCCAACCTTTCCTCCGGCCACGTCGTACACCACCTCCGTGGACGCCAGCGTATACGTCCCAATCACGGCGGAGATGACATCGCCGCCGTCGTCAAAGGCGGTGAAGGCGAGGCAGGCCATGGTGAATGGACCGGTGGTGGGATCGTCGTAGTACAGCATCTGGTCCCCGTCAATCAGCAGGCTCTCGCCGTTGCCGAACTTGAACCGGACGAGCGGTATGGTGATCTCCTGCAGCCCGGTGAAGTTGAAGCACGTGTCGAAGCCGGCGAACCCCGGCGACGAGCGGTTGTACTGCGACATCTGCTTCCGGAAGGCGTCGCGCAGCGGCGTGTACACGTCCTGCGCCAGCATGGTGAAGGTGGTCCCCACATTCAGGTTGGTGCTGGCATTGCTGCCGAAGGTCCCTGGCGGGATCGGGAGGTCCTCGCCGCCGAGGCTCATCCCGACGACGTCGATGAAGTACATGATCGCCAGCTCGGGGTCGCCGTTGCTCACCAGCGGGGCGTGCGCGGTGCGGTTGTCGTCATCTCTGACAGTGGCGTTGCCGCCGAGGGAGAGGAAGCCCTGGGACCTCGGGGACTGCGGCAGGCAGTAGGAGAAGGCACCCGGCGGCGACGAGAGCCGCGATGGCAGCGAGTTGAGGTCGCGGGTGAGGTCGAGGAACCCGGCCTCCGGCAGGTCAGGAGGAGGTCCCACGTCCATGCAGACGAACCTGAAGTCGTCGACGGCCGTGGACGGCGTCAGCTTGAGCACGTCCTGCGCAAACGTGCCCTCGATGGGGATGTTCGGGTTGTCAAACGGACAGACGGAGCCGCCTGAGCAGTTGGTCGGACAGTCCGGCGAGCCGCAGAGGACATGGGTGAACGTCGAGGACCGTGATGTGTCGAACGCCGGGTCACAGTTGTAAACTGAGGCGCACGGCTTGCACTGGATCAGGGTTGTGCCGATCATGGTGTCCAAGAACATCGGGAACTGCTGCTCCGGCGTGCCGTAGCCGACGAGCACACTGTAGTCCAGCTCGCCCGGTAGCGTGGACGAGTCCGACGAGCCGTTAACGGGGATTATGGTGGCGGCCGGCGGCGGGGCCGAGGCCGGGGCAGCGACCCCAGACGATTGTGAGGCGAAACGGCGCCGGATGCGGGAGGTGTCACGACGCAAGACATCTGCCGCCGTTAGGGACGGCAGCCCATGCAACGGCGAGCATGGGCTCTGCCGGTGCACCACGGGTAGCTTCTTGTTGCCTGTGCCTATAAAAGTTCAACATATATATTTTTTAATAGGAGAACAAAGTTCTAGCCTCTAATGGTCGACATATATATAATATAATGTATAAGAGCACCGCTAAGAGTCTTTTTTTAAACTAATTTTCTAAATCATTATTTGAAGAACTATTTGAGTAAAACCCATTGTCTATATCTTTTCACCCTCCAACAGGTTCTTTATATCATGTACGCACTCTAGATTATCAATTCTACTCTTTTTTTTTTAGAATTACACAGTACAACGTAGACGACCACAACACGCACGCATACACACCCCTATGAACACAAGTACGCAAACCCTACCCTACTCAAGAAATCCGAAATAGAGGAGGATAATATCCGAGATTAAAATCTCTATTCCTATAGATAAGGAATGATATAAAGCCGAGACTCTTGGAGTTGCTTTAAGAGCGAAAGTTTGTTCCAAATTTTTGTCCACCGCACTCTCTCTCTCTCCATGTGTCCATGTGCTCCCATGCACTTAGGTGTTCCCATACTAATGTTCAAAAAACCTTGAAATAGTGCTTGAAAAATTCAACCAAAAACATGAATCGATAGATAATGCAAACATCCATCTTCATGTGAAATTTGTGGATGAATGAAAAATTCTACAAGGAGAAACGAAAAAAGAGAAAAATAAAGATATAATTGGATTGGGTGCACTGTTTACCTCGATGAGCAACCCGCATCCTGATTTTCTCTTTTTTGTTTTCTCCTTGTCGAAACTTTTGTTCATCCTCAAATTTTGCATGAAGATGGATGCTTGCATCAATCTATCCATTCATATTTTTGGTTGAATTTTTCAAGCACCTTTTTCATGGGTTTTTTGAATGGGAACATGGGAGCATCTAATTAAGTGCATGGGAGCACAAAATATGTTCTATGTGTCCCTCTGCTCCCCGTAGCATAAAAGTCTAAGGCAATTTTACTACTACTAGTAGTAGTAGTACGTGATCAATTATTATAGATTAGATTTCCAATAAGTTTATTATCTCATTCGTAACCTAAAACTCAAGACTCATGCTCTACAATAGCCGTACTGAGTCTAACTCTAAAACATATTAGAATGGATGATGCATGATGTAAATTTCATTGTAAAGCACGGGTATACTTGTTAGAAGAAAATAATAGAACTATATAATTAATATATATGCTCTATCTGTACCAGCTGCGATGGACGAGCAGGAGGTTGCAGTAGGCACCGCGGAGGCCTGCGGTGACCTGCCAGGTGTCTTGAAGAAAACTTGTCTGGACCCTAGCTTGTAGCTTGCATGGGAGGAGGCGCCATGTTGAGCAGGAAGCAGAAGCAGCAGCAGGCAGAAGAAGAACAGAGAAGCAACGGCGGAGGAGGGAGTCATTGTACTATGCTGCCACCTACATGCATGAGTCCATCCTTTCTTTTCTTTATATATATATAGACGACGCGTTACGAATAGTCGTCATTAATATCCTCACAAATCACTGTCCAAAGTACGTCGCAGCTGACGCGACCAAATTTGTAACCTCGGAAGCAGACAAAGGATTGTTGTTGGAAATCACGTTCGACTTGCTGGCCCAATGGCCAATGCAATGCAAGGCTTATTGGAAATCACGACTTGCTGGCATGCATGCTTCCCCAATGCAATTGCAAAGCATATTGGCCGGCCGGCCGGCCGTGCAGCACAATGCTGTCAAATGCGCTGACGATGTTGGTCGTTGTGTTCTCTGTGCATGCGTTACATAATTTGGTATTGTTGTTATAAGCTCCCGAGTAATTAATCCGGAATACATTCCTGTTGAGGATGTAGTAATGCCCAAAGTACTTCATGGTGGCGTCGGTAGCGTTGACGGGCTCGACGAGCCAATGGCAGGGATTGTGGTGGCCGTCGGGGACGTTGTTGGGGAAGAGCCAATGCCAGGGATTGTGGCAGCCCGTGCAACGGCGAGCATGGGCTCAGCCGGTGCACTAGAGGAAGCTTGTTGTTTCCAGGTTGTAAAAGTTCAACATATACATAATAATATAGATATATATATATATAAGTTTTCCTTAGTTAAACTTACTCTCTAAATTATCATTTAGATAGCTATTCCGATACCATAAAAAAGACAATCGTTGTCATTTATTTTAGAACTGGCAATGGTAATAATGTCACTACTGGAAACCATAATTTTGGTTTCGATTTTTTACGGTTATTCGAAATACCGTCATGGTATTTCTAGTTATTTTTGACAGTTTAGAAAACACACAGGAAAATAAAAAACACACAGGGTAATTCAATGCACTATGGGTCCTTAAACTTTTCGTGATTCTCATTTAGATCCTCGAACTAAAAAAGTGACTATCTAGGCCCCCAATCTACTGTGGATTTTCACCTAGGTCCACCAACTAAAAAAGTGACCATTTAGATCCTTCAATTAATGTCGTGTCCGAGTGGATGTCCAAATCCCACCACATCACATCTATATGCCAGCGTGGTTGTGCCAGCATGGATGAGGCCAGGTGAAACTTACAGAAAAAAAACCCTTACTCACTTCGCCCCGTGTACTTTTTCTTTTGTCTCCTGTTGCACTACGGGAGAGGCAAAATTCCCCGAGTGTCGCTGGCTTCCCCGAGTGCCAAAAATCGGGCACTCGGGAAAGAGAATCTTCCCCGAGTGTTGCACTCGGGGAAGAATTGCACTCGGGGAAGAGAGGCTGTCCCGAGTGCCGCAGAGATCCTGGCACTCGGTAAAGATCAGCACTCGGCAAAGGCCCTCTTCTCCGAGTGCAACACTCAGGGGAGATCGGCACTCGGCAAAGAAACATGTTACTTGACGGTCCACCCCGCCGACGTCGTTAAAACTTTTAAAAAACATTCTTCCCCGAGTGCCTTCCCTGGCACTCGGGGAAGAGGCCCTTTCCCGAGTGCCGGGACAGGGCACTCGGTGAAGACTTAAAAAAAAGGCCCAGCAGGCCTTATCTAAACCTAACCGGCCACCCACCCGGCCACCCCACACCCGCCGCGCCGCGCCGCCGCCCGCCCGTCGCTACCCGCCGCCGCCACACCCCCTCCTCCATGTGCCGCTCATTGCTGCGCACATCACCATCGCCGCTGCTCGCCGGCCCAGCGCCACATCACACCATCAGAGCCCCCACACACAAGCTCACTTCACACCCGCCCCCACCACCAGCAGCTAGCCCTCAAGACCACAAGACTTCAAGAGCCCCAGCATTTCACAGTTCCTCGCTGCCAGCGCCCCCATGACGAGACGGCGCGGCGCGACCCAGGCCGCTACCCCTGGCCCTGGCTGGCTGGCCCCGAGGCAAGCCGCCCGCCCTAGCGCCCAGCCCGCCCCGGCCCGTCCAGCCTTTCCGTCTGCTCTGTCTGCGTGCCTTTCCTTCCTTTGCCTGTCTAGCCTTTCCTTCGCCACTGGTCAGGGGAGCAGAGAAGGAGGAGGTAGGTGGAGGAAGGAGGAGGAAGGAGGAAGAAGAAGAGGAGGAAGGGAAGAGGAGGAAGAAGGAGAAGAAGAAGGAAGAAGAAGGGAAGGGGAGGAGAAGGTGGAAGAAGAAGAAGGAGGAGGTCAAGAGAGAGGAGTAGGAGGTCGAGGAGGAGAAGGGGAGGAGGTGCCTCCGTCGCCACGTCCTGTCCCGTTGTCGGCGTCTTCTTCTCCGCGTGCACGTCCCGCCAACGCCCAAGGTATACGAACCGTCCCGTTCTGGTTGTCGGCCATCGCGCCGTTTATGTGTTGACGGCCTTTGTGCCGGAATTGTGGATGTGTGGGCCATCGTGCCCCAAATGTGGACGTCGGCCATCGTGCCGACGGTTTTTCTTGCAGGTTATCGAAACCTCCCCATCCAGGGGAGGTTCTGTCGAAATTTTGTACTTATAGTGTTGTTTTTCTTCTTTTGCAGAGCAGGACCTGTCGCAGGGGAATCGGAGCACCTAGGCGACCCCGATCGTCTTCGTCGGTGCTGCGGTCCTGCCTGCACAGCGCCGACTCGCCACTGCGTCGCTAGCCTTTCTCCACCACCACCCTAGGTATAATTAAGCTCTTTTCCTTACCATTGTCGTACATAGATCGGTGTAGCCCAGTTAGGCGTCTCCCGTCCGAAACAGATACGGTTGGAGGTATGCGGATCTCCGCATATCTATGACCGTATCTGTTTCGGATTGTCCAGGTGTAATTGGACAGCCCGCGGATGCGTAGATGGGTTAGTTTCCATGTTCTGCTCGGATCCGAGATGGAGTTTTGGCACCACCTCCCTGTTGTTCTCCAGATACACATTCTCCCTTCCAGGACGTGTATCGGGAGAGCAGCGGGTAGGTGCTGCCGAAATTCTGTCTCGGATCAGAGTAGAGCATGGAAACTAACCTCATCTACGCATCCGCGCGTGGGATTAGGACCTATCCTCACCTATTAGACAGTAGGCACGCCGTGCAGATGCGACTGATGGTTACTTTACTCCGTTATGTGTATATGCTAGAGGATGGATAACCGTGAGTGGATGTACACGGGATGCCCAAGTCAGTCTCAAATCACCCGTGAATGGATGTATAAGACCGAGAAATTCTTGGACCATGCATTTAAGGCAGCTAAGGGAGCGAGAGACACGTTCTGTCCCTGCAGCAAATGTGAAAACAAGAAAAGAAGAACAAGGGAAGTCATGATGAAGCATCTTTGGAAGTATGGATTTATGCCAAACTATACCCGGTGGGTACACAATGGTGAACCCTACCGTCCTAGAGAGGAGGTCGTGAGACGAGGCTTGGAGGCATTTGATGGTGATGGCGGGGTAGCAGGATGGTTAGGTGACTATGCGGATGCGATGTTCGCTGAAGGACGTACGGAGGACGAGCAGGAGGATGGGGAGGAGGAGCCAGAGCCAAGCACTAAGGCGTTCTTGGACATGTTGGAATCGGCACAGAAGTTCCTACATGAGAAGACAACGATTTCTCAACTGGATGCCATTGGGCGCCTATTGGGGTTGAAGTCACAGCACAACATGACTCGAAAATGCTTCGATGATATGGTGGCAATTATTGGGGATCTGCTTTCGGCGGGTCATCAGCTGCCTCCAAACTTGTACGAGTCAACGAACGTCCTTCGGGCACTGAAGATGCCGTATGACCAGATACATTGTTGTCCGAAGGGGTGCGTCCTATTTAGGAAAGAACACAAGGATGCAAAGTACTGTCCAAAGTGTAAATCCTCTAGATATGTGGAGGTAGAAAAAGGTGATGGCAAGAAGGAGCAGAATGAGAGGATCCCCATGAAAGTCCTACGACACCTTCCGATCATACTAAGGCTCCAACAGCTATTCATGAAAGAGGAGTCCGCGAAACAGATGAGATGGCACAAGAATGGTGTTCGATACAATAAAGACAAGATGATACATCCAGCAGATGGTGAAGCATGGAAAAGCTTTAATGCCAAGCATCATGGCAAAGATGAAGAGGCCTGTAATGTATATGTTGCGCTGGCAACGGATGGGTTCAATCCTTATGGAATGATGTCGGCCCCATACACTTGTTGGCCCGTGTTTGCTATCCCCCTCAATCTCCCACCCCCTCGGGGACCTACTTCAACGGCAAAACATATTCTTGACGTTGATAATTCCTGGACACCCGGGAGACAAAATGGGTGTGTACATGGAGCCTGTTTATGATGAATTGATTGAGGCTTGGAATGAAGGCGTATTGACTTACGACCGAGCTACAAGGAGGAACTTCAAAATATATGTTTGGTACCAGTACTCCATGCATGACTTCCTGGCGTATGGGATATTCACCGGCTTTGTGTCCACGGGAAGTATCCATGCCCGGTATGCAAGGCAGCTCTACAGTTCATTTGGTTGAAGAAGGGTGGCAAGTTCTCATCGTTCGACAAGCATCGACAGTTCCTCCCTCTTGACCATGCATTCAGAAGAGACACCAAGAACTTCACGAAAGGTGCCACGGTGATGACTAGTGCCCCTCAGAAGATGACTAGTGCCCAGGTTCATGCTTAGATAGATGCTCTCGTGGTCCCAGCGCAAGAAGATAATCCAAAGAAGGGTAAAAGAAACAAAGGTAATCCAAAGAAAGATAAGCCAAAGAAAGATCGCTTTGTGGGCTATGGTGTGGAACATATGTGGACTCATAAGTCGGGATTGGAGAGGCTTCCCTATTTTGATGACCTTCTCCTTCCACATAACATAGATGTAATGCACACTGAGAAGAATGTCGCCGAAGCACTTTGGGAAACACTCATGGACATTCCTGACAAGACAAAGGACAACCCTAAGGCCAGAGTAGACATGGCAACACTATGCGATAGACCTAAGCTACAGATGTTGCCTCCAAGAGACAACAAACCATGGAAAAGGCCTAAGGCTGATTACGTCTTGGAAAAGAAGCACA